GATCAAGCGATCGACGACCTTGAGGGAGTCAAGACAGTCGCTGATGATATTCTGGTGATCGGAAATGGCGACTCATTGGCAGAAGCAATCACCGACCATGACGCCAAAATGAAGCAACTATTGGATCGATGCAGAGAGCGGGGAGTGAAGCTGAATGGAACGAAATTTTTGCTGAAGCAAACGTCAGTTCCTTACATCGGACACGTTCTTACATCTGCAGGGGTGAAACCTGACCCAGCCAAGATTGAGGCGATCATTAAGATGGAGAGACCCACAAACGTAGAAAGAGTACGAAGAATTATGGGAACCATCAACTATTTAGCCAAATTTTTGCCACAGTTGTCTGACGTTTCGGAACCTTTGCGACAACTTACTAAGAAGGACGTTGTTTTTGTATGGGATCAAGTTCATGACCAAGCATTCACGAAGTTGAAAGAGCTCGTTACCAAACCGCCTTTACTAAAGTTCTACGAACCTGAAAAAGAATTGGTCATACAGTGTGATGCAAGCGAAGGGGGACTTGGGGCTGCTTTATTGCAAGATGGCAGACCAATAGCTTATGCAAGTCGAGCACTCAATTCGACTGTGCGTAATTACGCTCAAATTGAGAAAGAACTCTTGGCGATTGTGTTCGCGGCAGAACGATTTCATCAGTACACATTTGGAAGACCAGTATGCGTTGACTCTGACCACAAACCATTGGAAACCATATTTGCGAAGCCTCTCGTTTCTGCGCCCAGACGATTACAGAGAATGTTGATGCGGCTACAAATGTATGACCTGAGTGTGAGATACAAAAGAGGGACTGAATTATATCTTGCAGATACGCTAAGTAGACACTATCTGACAGCGGTACAAGAGACCAGAGAAGCAGATGTTCTGAATTACTTGTCAGATGTGGAGATAGAGCAGGGAGAGCATGAGGAAATCATGGAGATCAACCAATTGTTGGCGAATGAAGATGTTGCTAACATGTATCGAGATAAAACAGATCAAGATGAAGATTTGCAGGTGTTAAAGAGAGTCATACAGTCCGGATGGCCTGTGGTTAAGAACAACCTGCCAGCCGCAGTGGGGTCCTACTTTCATATCCGTGATGAATTGGTGGTCCAAGATGGGCTGATATTACGCGGTGATCGACTAGTTATTCCTAAGGCACATCGAAAGACAATGATGGAAAGTCTTCATGCCAGTCACCAAGGGATCGAAGCAACTCTGAGAAGGGCGAGAGAAACCATGTACTGGCCAAATATGAATGCGGAGATCAAAGATTATGTAAAAAAATGCGACTTATGTTGTAGTATTGGGCCTAAGCAATCAAAAGAAACACTCATCAGTCACGAGGTTCCTGACCGGCCATGGGGAAAGATCGCCACAGATTTGTTCGAGTTCGATGGCAAGGAGTATTTGGTAACAGTTGATTATTTCTCGAATTTTTTCGAGATTGACCGCCTCTACAGTACGCAGGCCGTATCCGTTATTCGAAAGCTCAAGGCGCACTTGGTGCGGTATGGCATTCCTGAAGAATTAATAAGTGATCAAGGTCCTCAGTTTACCTCTGGAGAATTCAAGAATTTCTGTGCGAGTTATGGAATGAAGCATACCATGACTAGCCTGCATTATCATCAGGCAAATGGAATGGCCGAAGCCGCTGTTAAACAAGCTAAACGAGTCCTGAAAGTAGCCAAGATGTCTGGACGAGACCCACATTTAGCTTTGTTGGACCTCAGAAATACTCCTCAAGAAGGTTTCAGTTCAAGCCCAGCACAGCGACTGATGAGCAGGCGGACCAAAACTGTTTTGCCAATTTCGAAAGGTTTGCTAAAACCAGCAGTTATTGAAAACACGAAACAGCAAAGAAGAGCTCGTCAAGGACGACAGAAGAAATTTTACAACTGGGGAGCAAGAGATTTACCAGCATTGGCTGCAGGTGACCAAGTATGGATACAGCCAGTCAAAGTTGGGGATCGAGAATGGAAGAAAGCAACCGTTTTAAGAGAAGCGGGTATCAGGTCCTATGAAGTCGAAACAGAGAATGACCGAACTCTTATTCGGAATCGAAGACATTTGAAGGAAGCAAAATCAAGATCTGCAAATGGCGATGATCATCAACAGATCCAAGAATTACCTAAAACACCTGAAGTTGCCGAGCGGGGATCAAGCGATTTTGATGGAGAAACAGACCCTATTCCCGAGCTTATTCCGGATCCAGATCGAGGCGCCCAAAGCAGTAATGAGTCCGGTATGCTGTCTGGTGACATGAGAGACAATATAATTACTCGAACGCGGAGTGGTAGAATTAGTCAAAGACCGAAGTATTTGGACGATTATAGTACCTAGTGGGATCATAAACGTTTACTTATTTATCAGATAAATAGACAACAACGATAGAATCTCTTTCTCTATGAAAGGGAGGATGTTGCAATATTCATAAAAACAATTATAAAAATATTTGCATGCATGTATAATTAGTTAGTAGCCTATTTAAGCCAAGTAAACATTTCGTATTATGAGTTAGCTAAATATATCGAAGTATGTTGTAGTTGGTTTGTGTGCTTTTTGTCATATAACGAAACACAACCTACCAGGATTTGTTGGTGGCACATCAACAATTGGCATGCTTTCCCGTGATTGTTTCTTTTTTATAGCTTCACTGTGTGGCTGTTTGTCAAGCATTGTGTTCATTGGGAGTGGTGTTTCCTTCTTTATTTCTTTCACTTCATTCTCTAATTTTTTATTTACAATTGCATCCACCATCGTGTCATATATTTCATCCACGTAATCTTCAATGTAATAAATAATACAATCATGTAATTATAAATTAGTAAAAAAATGGTTGCTAGATCTGTATCCCAATTTTTTTTGCTATACTATTTTTATCATCCTTCCTAACCAAAGATCTAAGAACTTCTGATAGAATATGTGAGCTTATCGGCATGACAAACTTAATAGTCCTGGAACACCAGTCAGTCTTGTCACTGTTATATTGTATTAACTACAGTACATTATACATACCAAAGTTTTGCTGCACTTTCACATTCCGAATAACTGCCTCTCCATTTTTAAATTTTGGGTACACAACATGGACTTGTTCAACCCCATTCTTCATTTTGTTCTTGCAATTTAGGTTTTTGTTAAAATGAATAACAGCAAGTGCATGCCTAAAATATTCCAATACAATTGTTTAATTTTCAGCTCATCATAACTTTCTAATTGCTTTCAAAAAGAATATATTTGTGTTATGAATAATATTTTTCATTTAAAAATTATCATAGCCAATCGGAATCTAAACTCTCGTTCTGTAAATAATTCATTTTACTTCTTCTCAATATAAATCAGTTGTATATATATATAATATTATTTAATTAGATTCATTTCCTGCCGCGATTAGCTTGCTATTGCAGGATTTGAATCTTGTATTTTGTCATGTGTATTATTCAAATAAAGTTGTATTGTATTTAGATTTAGATACTTCTTTTGCTGATTGGAGTTGTGAGGGTCTCCCGGGTGTTTCAAAGGAACAATTAGGCATGCAGTATTTTGTAATCATGGCCATGTGATCGAACAAGGGAACAAGCATGAGCGGATTTACTGGAGGGTTAGCTCCCCCCCCCCTAGAATCTCTCTAACCCCTCTAATAAAGTGTTCATGCAACCCCACCAAAATTTTGCTTTACCCCTCCTGTTTTGTGTGAGGCTTTAAGTCCCAAACGCCTAACCCTGCCAAAGCTCACTGAGTGGTCCGGCTTGCATCCTACCAGAAATTTTTCTACCCCTCCTTTTAAATAAATGAAAATACGCTCTTGAATTAATGTACTGTAAGCTGGAGAAACAAAGCAGTATAATATATACTGGGGTGATGCCAGTGTATGAGTAATATGACGAGTAAAAACATTGCGGACTGCCTTAAATTATACTTTTTGTGGTGATGTTGACTTGTTTAAAAAGTTGTAGTTTAAATTTTTAATTTTTCTAGAAAATTAAATGTTGTTCAGAAATATTTCGCGAATTTTAATGCCCCTTTTTATTTTCGCCCATCAAAATCGCGAAAATAAAGTCTCGCGAAATATGGCTTCGACAAAATCGCGAAATTAAGTACGCGCGAAATTAAGTACGAATAAGGTATATTTAAAGGCAAATATTCAAAATTTAGGGCATTTCATAGAACGTTCTATTCTGTGCAGAATGTTGAAGGATTTTGTTAATTATTCGCTGTGGATAGAGATTGGGCAGCTATTAATGTGACACAATATTTATATGCATGACAGAACATCATTAGGTATTATCTGTGATTGCAGTACAACACTCTGACCACTGAGATACAGAGTCCAATGGCTTAGAGGTGACCACAACTTCATGTGCATAATATACTCCATGGCAGTGTGTGCAAATATTCTACATTTTGTACATGTGCATGACACTGCGCATCCTCCAAGACAAACGCGGATCGTCACGAAAATATTTCGTACACTTAAATTGGAAAGACTTGCTACGTACCAATCCCCTTTGACTCCAGAGCTTTGACTCTATAGCTAGAGCATTCTCGTTCCCCGAGCACGCCCGTTCGCAGGTTAAGGGTGGGCATAGCTCTGGAGAAATCGAATTGATTCAGGCCTGTGATTGGCTAGCGGCAGATAGTACGTTGTATGGTAGATACTTTATGTGACCCCTTATTATAGTGTATCACAGTTTTGCACCGTAATATTATTGGAGCTCATTTTGCTCTATATAAGTAATGTCCATATCTGGGCCACAGAATAGGAAGGTATACCAGAAGTCGCACTGAAGCAAGTATTTGTCCGCGTTTTTACAAGCGATTCGTCATCAATCACGCCATCCTGGCTAGTACAACCGGCACTTTGTACCTACCAAAACCTTATAAAAACTTACGGCTGTACTAGCCAGGATGGCGTCAGCGAGTTAAAATTTTCGTGGGCGTAAACACCGACTCAAGTTACACTTCTGCTATACTTTCCTATTTTGTGTCTGGGCAGGAGGGGACGTGCAACGTCTTGACGTGGCGCAACACTCGGGGCTAGGGGTTAAGGGCGGGGTTGGGGTCAGGGATTAGCCTTTGATACATTATAATAGGGGTCACACGAAGTATATACCCGTTGGATTTCCATGAAAGGAAATTTTCATGAAGAAGATTTGCAAGTTAATTTTTCACGGACGTCAGATTGCCGAGGGGGGACTGGATCAAAAACTGTGTTTGTGTCAGTTTGTGGTAATCTTCAACACATATGACAAAAACATACAGGAGCACTTCCTTACACGAGGCTATGTCCATGAGCCAAAATGCCACCGAAATTAATTATACCAATTTTCGGGTGACATACATGTTAAAGGTGCCCTACAGTCCGTATGTAAACAAAGCCTTAGTTTACATTTTTGTGTCCAAAATATTGAGCTTTATTCGACAACTATTTATATTTTCAAGCTTCTAGAGTATAATAAATGATCAAGAAACAACAATCAGGCTTTTCAAGAACCCTAAACATAGTTAAACTGTTTGTATCATAAAAAGTGGGCTCCTTTGTGCACATGCGC